ATGGCTCTACAGAGGTCAGCTTCACTGCTGTTGGCTTCAATCATTCTCCTTCACGTTGTGCAGTCAGATCCTTTGACCCCAGCCAACAGTTTGCAGCTGCTGCCTGAAAGTAAAGAGAAAACAGAGAAGATCCTAAATTTTGGGAAAGAGTCCCTCAATCTTTTCAAAGATGTCATGGAAAACACCGTCTCTACGGAGCTGACAGCAATCATGAAGGGCATCTCCAGCTTTGCTGTTTTTGCACCTGCAGTTTCCTCATTCATCAACATGATCCTGATCTTCATCCCTGCAGAAGACCCAGAGCTGAATGAGCTGAAGAAAGGCTTTGCTGAGGTGAACCAGAAACTGGACTCTCTCTACATTAAGATCTCCAACCTGGCAACAGACGTGAAATGGTTCAACTACGCCAGCGTCTACTCCGAAGACGAACGGAACATCCTGAATACCTGGAAGAAGTTTAGTGGGTTTATGGATAGAAGAGAATCATCAAGTCCTGAGGAAACAAATCAACACGTTAAAGCTTTCATCACCTTCTATGAAAGATCAGGAACTGAGTCCAGCGTGTTGAATCTGTATCACTACCTAACAGTGGGCGGCACGTCTCTGAGCGAAAACATCAACGATCTGCTGAAGGAGAAGTTTAAATGTGACGTTTCTGTGATTGGCAGATATAATTTGTACTTGGGCAGCTTGTTTTGGAAGGGAATGGTTCTGACCCAGTTTTACTGGAAACTTACTGGTGTCAACACTAAAGGCAAAGAAGCTGAACATGTTCAGATGTTCAAAAAGGTTTCTGAGGCTCAGCTGTCAGCGGTGGAGTTCTGCCTCAACAACTACGAGCAATACCTGAAGAAAGACGTGGAGGAAATCATCCAAGGTCACAGTTCTGACAAAGCGTCGCTCGCAAATAAGATTAAACAAGTTTTGGACGGTAAGTACAGCTGGTACCGCTGGGTGGTGGTGGTGTTTGACAGCAGCCAGTCCAAAAACCACATTCTTTACTCTGAGTTCATCTTGAGCAGTGAGAGGTTTGTTGTGGGCATAAGCTTCACTGTAAAGGCAGAAATGATTCATGTTGATGAAGTGAAGAACACAGCCACTGACTGTTTGGAAGGAAAGGATTGTGAAATCAAAATAAGAGCACAGAGATGCAGCCATAAATGGTATTCAAAGGATCATGGTGATGAAATTATTATTCCTTTGGAAAAATATGCTGCAGTTACTCAAGTTGCATATGGAGAGCAGTTTGTGGAGGTTCCAGAGCCGTTTCACAGAGTGAAGTGTTACTGGGATGGATATGAAAGTTGGATCTCTGTTCATTACTCCAGACACTCGTCTGTCTGCGTCTCCAATCGGTGTCAGAATCAGGGAAAGTGCAAACGGCTGCTCAGATCCAACCAGTGGTTGTGTGAGTGCCAGGACGGCTACTATGGAGACACATGTGAAAAACGAATCAACATCAGCATGTTGATCAGTTTAGACCCAATTAGACACAACCAGAATCAATCAGGCCCAACCAGCATAATTGAGTTCAAACAGTTGCTTATGATCGTAGGCGGTATTTCTGTCTTCATTGTTTTGTTTGTTTTGTTGCTGTTATTGATCCTGAAACGTAAAAAGTGTTTGTTGAGCCGTCGACAAACATCCCTGAAGTCAGAACTGGAAACCGAGACTCAGAGGACGAAGAGCTCCACGACTCACATGGTCCAATTTCATGAAATGAGCCAAAGTGTTAATCTCAGATATAATCTCTGGGAAAATATGAATAAGTGATCATTAATATCAGCTTAACTGATCATTAATATCAGCTTATCTGATCATTAATATCAGCTTATCTGATCATTAATATCAGCTTAACTGATCATTAATATCAGCTTATCTGATCATTAATATCAGCTTATCTGATCATTAATATCAGCTTATCTGATCATTAATATCAGCTTATCTGATCATTAATATCAGCTTAACTGATCATTAATATCAGCTTATCTGATCATTAATATCAGCTTATCTGATCATTAATATCAGCTTATCTGATCATTAATATCAGCTGCTTCTTTCACAGAAACAGGAAGTGCATCTCATTTAAGCCATTTGGTTCTTTTCTTTTTATTTTGATGGAAAATACAAACTGCTTCATGTTCATGTATCTCTTGCCATATTTTGTTCACTCCCTTGTATTCATTATTGTTCAAAATGTCTTGCCATATTCCTGTTTGATATCTGATCAGACGGATCAACCAGCCGTCAATAATTCGGCTCCTTGTTGCTCCTCTTTCATATTAAATGTTTTTATTTCTTCACCAGTTTTGCTGTGTAAGTTCGGATGAAGATGTTCAGTTTCTATGTGTTGATGTTTTATGAAGATGTTCAGTTTTGTGACAAAAACAGGACAAATGAAAAACCCAATTATTCAAAGCTTTGGCGTCTGGTTTCTGAATTTGGTGCTTAACGGTTAAATAACTACGGTAGTTTAAAAAAGGGAGGAAGAAAATGAAAGCAAACTATTGTTTGGATCAGTTCATATGAGATGAATTCATCAGGAGGGGAAGGAAAACTGGGCTGGGTTTCTTAAACAAATCCAGGAAAACAGACATCCAGCAAATCAACCGGCTGCAAAATGTCTTCCTCCAAACCAGCTGGTGACGAGAACACGAAGCCACTGGTTTGATCACCAGTAAGCACTGGGTTGATCCACATCAGTGCTTACTGGGGAACCTAAAGCTCTACTTTACCCTGTCACCAGGTGACCTTTGACCTCGTCCAATCACTGGAGAGATGCTTAAAACAGGTAAATGTGTTGATGAGACAAAACAGAAAGAAAACTGAAGATATTATTGGATCTAAAGAGAAACAATCTAGAGTTATAGATCTAGAGTTATAGATCTAGAGTTATAGATCTAGAGTTACAGCTCTAGAGTTATAGATCTAGAGTTACAGATCTAGAGTTATAGATCTAGAGTTACAGATCTAGACTTACAGATCTAGAGTTATAGATCTAGAGTTACAGATCTAGAGTTATAGTTTTAGAGTTACAGATCTAGACTTACAGATCTAGAGTTATAGATGTAGAGTTATAGATCTAGAGTTATAGTTTTAGAGTTACAGATCTAGACTTACAGATCTAGACTTACAGATCTAGAGTTATAGATCTAGAGTTACAGATCTTGAGTTATAGTTTTAGAGTTACAGATCTAGACTTACAGATCTAGAGTTATAGATGTAGAGTTATAGATCTAGAGTTATAGTTTTAGAGTTACAGATCTAGACTTACAGATCTAGACTTACAGATCTAGAGTTATAGATCTAGAGTTACAGACCTAGAGTTACAGATCTAGACTTACAGATCTAGAGTTACAGATCTAGACTTACAGATCTAGAGTTATAGATCTAGAGTTACAGCTCTAGAGTTATAGATCTAGAGTTACAGATCTAGAGTTATAGATCTAGAGTTATAGATCTAGAGTTATAAATCTAGAGTTATAGATCTAGAGTTACAGATCTAGAGTTATAGATCTAGAGTTACAGATCTAGACGTACAGATCTAGAGTTACAGATCTAGACTTACAGATCTAGAGTTATAGATCTAGAGTTATAAATCTAGAGTTATAGATCTAGAGTTATAGATCTAGAGTTATAAATCTAGAGTTATAGATCTAGAGTTACAGATCTAGAGTTACAGATCTAGAGTTACAGATCTAGAGTTACAGATCTAGACTTACAGATCTAGAGTTATAGATCTAGAGTTATAAATCTAGAGTTATAGATCTAGAGTTATAGATCTAGAGTTATAGATCTAGAGTTAAATCTAGAGTTACAGACCTAGAGTTACAGATCTAGACTTACAGATCTAGAGTTATAGATCTAGAGTTACATATCTAGACTTACAGATCTAGAGTTACAGATCTAGACTTACAGATCTAGAGTTACAGATCTAGAGTTATAGATCTAGAGTTACAGATCTAGAGTTATAAATCTAGAGTTATAGATCTAGAGTTATAGATCTAGAGTTACAGATCTAGAGTTATAAATCTAGAGTTATAGATCTAGAGTTACAGATCTAGAGTTACAGATCTAGAGTTATAAATCTAGAGTTATAGATCTAGAGTTATAGATCTAGAGTTATAAATCTAGAGTTATAGATCTAGAGTTATAAATCTAGAGTTACAGATCTAGAGTTACAGATCTAGACTTACAGATCTAGAGTTATAGATCTAGAGTTATAAATCTAGAGTTATAGATCTAGAGTTATAGATCTAGAGTTATAAATCTAGAGTTATAGATCTAGAGTTATAGATCTAGAGTTATAAATCTAGAGTTATAAATCTAGAGTTATAGATCTAGAGTTACAGATTCTGGATCCGTTCACCGGACCTTCAGTCTGATGAGTGAAGCCAGCAGAAGTGCAAATGGCCTTATTAATATTTGTTGTTTCATGAACTGGTTCATAAATGTTTATTATTTTGCTGCAGTAGTGATGCAGCCAATGCTTTTATTTTGAAAGGACTTGGGACCGGAAGGTGCCGTAAAGCAGTTCAGCAGGTTAAGACAAAAACAGAATATAGTTCATTTGTGACTCAAAGCTCCTGGTTGGACTGAATGTTTTAGTTTATAAATGAATATTTAATTGTTTTTCATGGAACTCACAGGTTGCTGTTATGTTTTCACCCACTAGAGGGCGCTAGTTTATTAGTTTTAATATTATATTCTATGTAAAGCCAGACAGTTTAAATGATGAATTTCATTTTATTTCATAGTGCAGGAAACTAGAAGGGAATATTAAAAGATTTAATAAATATACACTGTAAAACATAATAACAGCACTCAAGGTAAATAATTCATTTAAGATAAATTAATAAGTCAAACAGATGAAGGCAACATAATGTTTGAGTTACTAATTGTATTTTTATTTTGTATATTTTGCAGCTTTTATAGTTTGTTCAGGCTGTTGAATGAAAACCGTCAATTTGAGGCACTGAGAAACAAAACTGGTGAAAAGAAGCAGAAGGTTTTCTTCAGGTTCAGACGATTCCTCTTCTGAAAACATGATTAGTGTTGATTTGAACTTGATTGAGATTTAGATGACATAAAACTCAAACCGAGAGCAGAGACGGAGAGACGCGAGTCTGGAGGGAAACCATTCAGAAAGATGCACAAAGTTACAAAACTGCACAACTAATACAATCACATGATCTTAATCAGGGTTAACAATAGTTAATAATGGTTAATAACTGTTAATAACAATTACTAGCGGTGGCCCCGGCTAATAGAGACGCATGAATTATTCTCTCTCATGACTTATTTTAGTCTCACTGGAAACTTTTCAGTAAAATGACAGAAGCCTGAGCTGAAGGGGAGCCGGTTCACATCGAGACTGAAGACAATAAATCTGGTTTCAAAGTTTTTATTTTGGAGGGAAAGTTGCAGAATAACAATAATGAGAAAAACAAACATGTAATAACTCTTAAATTCTGAGTGTTTTTAGTTTTTTCCTTTAAATTTGCAACAGAAGCTCAAAGTAATAGAATCAAAAGATCATTTTAAAGAAACATGATGAGATCATTCATTTCACAGAACAACAGTTCATATGATGTTTGCTCAGAAACTGAGTCACATTCAGATGTTCTGGGTTCAGAACCAGAAATGAAACCAGTTTTTAATCAACATCAAAAGATGAAACACGATTTAATGTGACGAGCAAAACAAAACAACACAATCTGATTTCTTCTGTTATATTTTGTGGCTAAAATGAGAATTTGTCATAATTATGAAGTTTTCACACAGCAACTCTGTCAAAATGGCTGAAACTGTTCAGGTTGAAACTGCAGGTCATGAACAGATCAGAAACTGTCTGGGATCTTTCAGCCTTTGCTGCCTGAGGATTGGAGGATTTCTTTAATAAACACATTTTTCTTGTAATCCTCCAGGCTCTCCTCACATTTCTCTCCATAGTATTTCTTCTCACATTCACACAGCCCAATGTGGCTGTTTTCCACCTTCTTACATTCTCCTCTTTCTTTACTTCCACACTCGATTCCCTTGCATGGATCCGTTTTCATCAACTCTTCATCACTTTTAATCAGAACCCTGAAGTGTTTAGTTATTAATTTGTGTAACATGGTGCATTTCCCAGTGTAAAGGTAAGGGATGGTCTGCTTTTCATCAGGCTCAAACTCTTCCTCACCTGGAGCCTCGTCTGTGTCTAAAGCTTGAGCACTGCCATGCTTTTTATGAAAATAAACATGAATGGCTGAATAGCTATCCTTCATGTTACACTTCTCTAACGTTTTTACGACTTCATTGCAGGGCACAGATTTCTCGAAGCACTTTTTCAAGGCTTCTACCACCTGAGCTATTTTTTTCTGGTGGTTTCCTTTCGCTTGTTTGGCAAAAGCCACACTAGTCATCCCTTTTCCTACTGCAGTAAATCCATACAAAATGTGTCTGTTCAGCCATTTAGTAAAAACACTTTTATAGCTTGAACTTTGTGTTTTAAAAGCAACCACCATCCAGTCATAGTGGTAAAATGTTTTATATAAATATTCCCTGATGTTCTTTGCCAGAGTTTTACGGTTCGCTGTCTCTTCGATCATGTCCAAAATGTCCTTTTTAACATAAGGATCAGGTTCTGCAATGCACTTCTTGGTCATCTCAAACATAGCTGCAGAAATGTCGCGTGCTTTATCAGCCAAAGCGTCTTCATCTGTTTTAATATTATTGAAGAGGTTGTAGAAATTGGTCATGGTGATGGCTTTGTGAATCAGCAGTGCGTTAACAGCAGAGAATATTTTAAGTCGACGTAGATGACATCTCACATCGCTCATCAGGAGCTTTTCATAGTTGGGGCTGTAAGCACCTCCACCTGTTATAACATAATGCAGATCATCCACATACTTTCTAGCATTTTTAAGGGAATTTTCTATTATTTTGTCCTGGCCATTTTTCCTCAGATTGTCAAAACAAGGCTCTTTACAATCTTTCAGCAGGTTCCTGAGTGTATTCCATCCTATTGTTATTTTCTTCTCCAACTGTGCATAGTCAGTACTTTTCCAAATGTCAAACAGAACTTCCTGATGGTTTTTATCAATCCGATCAGTTAGATCATCAACTTTAAACTTGAGATAATCTAGAAGGACTCTTTCTGGAGTTTTACCAACAATGGCAGTTCCAGTATGTATGATAGCAGTTAAATACGACCCAGCCATAGGAAGAAGACCAATAAAAGGTTTAACTCCATTTAAAATCTTCAGAAGATCTAGAACTGCGGCCTTTTCGCTGTCTCTCTTCTGCAGAGCGCGGTTTTCCTGCAGGTGGGAGTGCGGCGGGCCGCTCCGGCTGCAGGCCAGGAACGAAGACAGCAGCAGCAGCAGCAGCAGCAGAACCGGGCCAGACGGCGCCATGCCTGAGGACAAACACAGGAACGGTCAGGATTCACTTCATAAAGTCGCTCTGCTAAATTATAAAACCTGCTCTGACCTGGAAGAATGAAAGTTTGAGTGAAACTAATAAAAATAACAATATGCTCCAACTTCCCTTTTTTATTTCATCAAAAGATTAAATGAACAAAATAATCCTGAACAAAATAAAGCAGGAAACTTTATGTTTTTGTTTTCATTTCCTTTTCAAGTAAAGTTCTTTAAATCAAACTTGAAAACTGCATGTAACCTTTTCAGAGAACCGATGGTGAGAAACAAAACGTACCGAGATCTTCAGTTCTGGATGATTCTTTTCTGGAAAGACAAAACTGGTTGAAGTTTGTTGAAGCTTTTAAAAGGAAGAAAAGAAGTTGATTTAATGGAAGTGGGATCTGAACTGACCGTGGCGGTTTGGAGATCTGGAACAGTTTCTGCAGAGCAGCTGGGAGACCACCTGCAGACTGGTGAAGCCCAGCCCAGTCCTGGCTTTATAGGAAGTGGAAGTTGGTCCACCTCTGCAGGCAAATGCTCTGTTTTCATGTGCAGCTTGATAAATTCATGTGGGAGTCTGTTAACATCTGGACCTGATAGCACCTTAACCGACTCCCAATATGTTCTCATTTGAATGAAAAGCGTTTGGACCAAAGTCTTTCTGCCAACGTGAGTTTTTCCAGGAGAAACGACGTGTTCAGTTAGCGGCTCTTGTCTAAACTGGTGAAATCGTTGGAAATGTGAATAAAAATCTAGAGCAGCAGAGTTTCAGCTTTTCTTCAACACCCAAATCAAACGGACAGATTTCCTCTTGAGTGATGGAAGGATTAGCATCAGCTGCTACATGTTTAGCATTGAGATGCTATTTTAGGCTAGCATAGCTTCACTGATAGGCTAACTCTTTTTAGCACATTTTGATACAAGTCGTTTCCAGCATCCAATCAGATTGATTAGAAACAGAAATGAACTGAGAAGCAGCTTTGAGTGTCAGACTTCAGGCACCAGAAACATGTGAATACAAAGGTTCACATGTTTCTGTGAAACAGCCAGAGCAGTGGCACATTAAAGGGTGAGTAACGTCTATAAGAGCTTTTCAAACTGAACCGGAGTTGAAATCGATGGGATGATAGAAATCACAAGAGGTGATGAGGATGAGGAAGAGGACAGAGCTGGTGTTTGCTGCTGCCTTCAGCTTCATAAATGAAGCAACGAATGTTATGTACCTCAGGTGTGAGATCCAGTCAGTAGTTCTGTGGCTTTGTGTCCAGCTCAGCAACAGCTGGTTAGAGTTTCATATTTAGTACCAGTAGCATTAGCTCCATTAGCATTAGCTCCATTAGCATTTCAGTTGCTGTCTTGCTGCAGTGAGCTTCAGCTTCTTTGTGGATGAAAACTGTCAGCCAGCATTTGTCTTTAGTTCGTTAAGGTATTAATCATCTGTTAGAGCCTTTATCATACAAATGACTCGAAGTCTTCTGGAGAGAAATGTTGAGGCCAAAAATGTGGGTCATTGGAAAGTTGAACCCAAAGGTTCGACTCGGAACGTAATTAAAAACAATTAAAATCTAGGTGACTAATTTATCAAAATTATTACGTTAAATCTTAATCCTTTCAGTGTGACATCATCACTAGACCCTGAGAGCTGGTTTATTGATCCCCTAAATTTTAATGCTTAAATCAGGAAATTTTGTGCATGTGCAAAACATTGGAGGGCAAAAAATTTTTTCTTTTACATCCTGTCCATCACAGCGCTGCTGCAGTGCTGAGTGTGTATTATTGATTTAGTGCAGCTGGCAACAGTAAAGGGAAAATTAACATAACATAATTTCTGTGTCTGCTATGCTACGCAGACTTGTTGCCGTAACTGTAAAGCCACGATGTATCAGGATTCAGACCAAAAAACACTCAGAACAAACATTCAGTTACAGGTTCATATTTTTAGACTAGATGTTTATTTTTAAATGATTAATAAGCGATGGCAATGGTAGATAATTGCTATTTGCAAAGCTAACAGCGTTGGTAGCTTAGCTAATGCTGCTATTAGCAAAGCTAACACAGCGTTGGTAGCTTAGCTAATGCTGCTATTAGCAAAGCTAACACAGTGGTGGTAAATTAGCTACTGATGCTATTAGTGGTGGTAATTAAACACCTGCTCTACTGTCAGAGTTTCAGTCGCCTTTTTATTTTATAACTAACTGTTAAGGTTGTCAAAGTCAAGCTAGAATAGCTGAAACTTTCTATGACCTCGCTATCTAGTGGTCGTGTTGACAATTAGTTGCAACGCACTGCGTTCATTTTTCTTACATTTAAAATTTAGTGTGTAATGTTGACAACTTGGCGGCTAAAACCGATGCTAGTCGTCGTTGACCAGCAGGGCTTGTGATGGGGGCGGGGTCTTGCATGGTGACATCACACTGCAGATCCGTCAGTTTTAATCAAAATAACTAAAAACATGTTAGAATGGCAGATGGAGTGAATCCTGTGTTAGGGATGAAGTTCAGTCCAAAAGCTGCTGGTTTAACAGGAAGGCTCATCTCAGCCGACCAGAGATTTATGAGCTCAACTGACATCCTGCGGTCGATCAGCGATAAGCAGAATGGTTTGGAAGAAGCAACGAATTTGAATAGAGGAGCAACTGAACATTTGAATGCTGAGCTGGACCTTCATGTTATCTGGGTCAGAGGTCAACCAAGAGCCTCTCTGACTCATTTCCATTTAAACTGTTCCTCACTGAGCTGGCCGCCACATTTTATGTCCTTAGAATCAAACACAAAATCTAATCAATCGCTCCGTCATCCAGGAGCTTTTTACAGCTTTCAAACTAAGAATCAATTTATCAAAAATGCATAATTAATGAAAAAAGAAAAGTTGTTGAAGAAAATTGAATGGAAGGAAGATAACTGAAGAGATAAACACAGCCTTAAAAAGATTGTAACGTAAAGTCTGTTCAAAATGGCCGCCAATGGTACAGGTGACCTGGAGGTCAGAGAGCTTCCTGACCCTCAGCGCCGCGTTGCTTCTCTCTGAAGTCAGTCAAAAGTATTTTATTTTTATGATCTGTATGTAACAGTTGAAACTTCCTATTTACTAACAGCTCAGTTTAAATCCCAAAATTATTTTCATTTGTCTGAACGTTACTCTTTATGGATCCACTTGTGAAAACATCGACCCGTTTCTGTAAAAAAACCAAGACCAAAAAAAACAAAAACTTGACTAAAAATGTATTTGCCCAACTTGACTTTATTGAACTTCAATGGGAATTAAATTGTTTCTTTGTGGAGATGGAGGCTGATCTGGTCATTAATTCTCTTCATCTGAAACGAGAACAAAAACAAATATGAATAACTAAAACTTGTATCCATTTACTCAAAACAAACACTTAAATATGAAAACAAACATCTTAATTAACAAAAAGGTGAATTGAAGTCAGCAGGTAAACAAACCAGTAAGATGTTTGAATCTGATAAAATCTAACATTTTACACTAAAGTAACTCAACTTTAAATTAACTGTTTTACAGATAAACCGTCTAAATTTGTCCTTGAGTTTTCCATCTTTAGGTTTCTATAAACATTTTTTAACATTTTCATGTAAATATATTTAATTCTGTAAAATCTGGCCAAAAACTGTCTCAGTGCTGCCCTCTATGTGTTGAGTGGTAGAACTGCAGCTGACTTTTCCTGGTTCCAGTGTTGTAGTCAAGACCAGCGACCCGAGTCAAGACCAGCGACCCGAGTCAAGACCAGCGACCCGAGTCAAGACCAGCGACCCGAGTCAAGACCAGCGACCCGAGTCAAGACCAGCGACCCGAGTCAGGACCAGCGACCCGAGTCAAGACCACCGACCCGAGTCAAGACCAGCGACCCGAGTCAGGACCAGCGACCCGAGTCAGGACCAGCAACCCGAGTCAAGACCACCGACCCGAGTCAAGACCAGCGACCCGAGTCAAGACCAGCGACCCGAGTCAAGACCAGCGACCCGAGTCAGGACCAGCGACCCGAGTCAAGACCAGCGACCCGAGTCAGGACCAGCGACCCGAGTCAAGACCACCGACCCGAGTCAAGACCAGGTCGGTCTCAGGTTCGGGTTCCAACAGTCCAGAACAAACAGAAAACAGCAGCGTCACAGAAATGATGATGTTTGGAGCTTTTCCAAGTAATATGGTAATAATGGCATAATAATGCAAGAACACATTAATTGATTTATTGTGAAAGGTCTAATGACAGGAAGTGGCTGGAGCGCCTTGTTGTTATTTACATGTGATTTTAATTTAATTTTTCATTCAAAGTAAAACTATAATTTTACTATAATTGTTTTTTCAATGAGCAAAATATCAACACATTATTAATGGAAGCGCAGCTTCAGTTGCTCCCAGTAAACTAACTGAAGCAACAGAGGAAAGAGACCCGCTGACCTCACCTTCCTCCTCCTCGTCCTCTTCATCCTCCTCTTCCTCCTCCTCTTCGTCAGAGCTGAAGGTTCCCTCAGGCAGGCTGTAGACCCGAATCACTTGCTATAGGAGACAAAGAGAGGCGATCAGCTCCGGGCCGGAGCGGGTCGGGCCGGAGCGGGTCGGGCCGGAGCGGCTGGCTGGGGGTCCTCACCTTGTTGGGGTCCTTCAGGATCAGGTACTTGCCCTCGTCCAGCTTGCGGCAGATGTCGATGACGCAGCGCAGGATGCCCCAGGCGTTCTCCATGCTCAGGTTGATCTGGCTGGCGAACTCATTGGGTTTGAACTGCTGGGTTCCCAGGATGACGTGGCGGGACGAGTCCTTCACGTGGTAGCGGGAGACGTACCTGTGGGGGGGACGGTCTGGTTACACGCTGACCTTTGACCCGGGAGCTAAAGCGGAGCGATCCTCACCCCAGCTTCAGGTACTCGGAGCCGGCCAGCATGGCGCAGCAGGTCCAGCGGGCCAGCTTGTAGCTGTTGTTCTTCAGCTCGGTGGCCAGGACGGCGCCTCTCTGGGAGTCCAGCTTCTGACGCCAGTCCACCCCGTTACAGTACTGGGAACAAACCACAGAACCCAGTTCAGCTGCGACTCAACTCCATCGGGGAGAAAAATAAAAACTCTGGTGGTTTAAATATGGACCTGCAGGATTTCTCCTTTTTTTAGTCATTTTGGAATTACGAGCATCAAAGTTTTGAAATCGGGGAACATTTCTCCAACTGAATCAATCAGAAGTTGAAAAAACGGCGGGAGGAAATCCCCCAGCATGCCGCCTGTTCATAACATTGTTCTGACTGAGTTATTACTCTGCATACAATTTAACACGTCTCCACCTGCTGGTCAGAGGTGTGAACTGCTGCGAGTCAAAATGACAAACGGCCTTCAGATCATTAAAAAATCTGATCAGAGAAAATATTCTGTTAACCAATCAGTGGAAGTTAGAAACACTGCCACCTGCAGGTGAGAATAAGAATCACTTAAACCAAACGTTTTGAGTATTTGCAATAAACTCACAATTATCCACTAGCATGAAATAATGTGGAAAGCTGATGATTTTACATTAATATCTATGAACAACTGGAGTTTTATGATCAGGAAACTTTGTGTGAACGTTTGTGACAGGAAGTCAGCAGCCCAGCGTCGCATGGTGACGCGTCGCGTCCTCTCACCCTGGAGTCCCACTCGTTCAGCGTCTTCACGTTGATGAAGGACACCTCTCCACTGGCGCCGGTCATCACGCCGTCGTGCTCACAGCGCACGATCAGGTCGATGTCTTCCCCCAGCTTCCAGTGGCGGTACCTAGATCACACAGCGGATCAGAACCGCTCCGGTACCACACAGCGGATCAGAACCGCTCCGGTACCACGAACCGCTCCGGTACCACACAGCGGATCAGAACCGCTCCGGTCGCTACCTGTACGCCACAGACGCCACCTCGCTCTTGTCCATGTCCTCCTCCACAAACGGGTTGGGGTTGGGGAACTTGTGTCTCTCTCCGCCCTGAACGCAGAGGATGAAATGTGATTGGTCGTCAGCGTGAAGCCTTTGGGCCGGGCGGGGCTGGGGGCGGGGCTTACCATGCGTAAACACTGCTGGCTGAAGTTGTGGTTGATGTAGGTGGCCTCCATGGCCAGGTTACGGGGGGAGTTGAAGGAGTTCCCCTCGTCCTGCGGAGGCTCGTTGGCCGTTTCGCTCACCGTCAGCAGATCTGGAGAAAAGGACGAACAAACATCTGAACGGGTCTTCCAACTGAACAGTGACCTGGACGGGTCCAACAGGGTCGTTAAGTTTCAAAGGGTTTTAATGAACGTGGAGAAGCTTCATGCAGCTGCCTCAAAAACTCTAAAGGAACACAGAGTTGTTGCTTATTTCAAAACGTCATGAAGTTTTAAAAGTTGCGACCAGAGCTTCCCTCACCACGACCCTCAGCACTCCCAACACTCAGCTGCAAGCTTGGCCACGCCCCCATCTCTAGGCTCCGCCCACATTAGGTGGGATTTTAGTGTCTGCAGACCAGGTAGGCGTTTCCAAAAAAGGCATCTCAAGAACCACACCTGATTGGCTAAAGTTAATGACCGTCTTTTGAGTTCTTTGGTTCAAAAATATGGTTAGCTTATTTATCGTTTGATGAGATTTTCTTTTTATTTAGTTTTCTATTGTAAGTCATTAAGCAGTTAGATATAATAACAGCAGATGGATTTTATCAGCTGGACTGACTTTAGCATCGAATTCATAACTTCTCTCACAGAACTTCAGCTTACATTTCAAAATAAGAGCATCAACTTAATCACTGTTTTAAAACCTAACCGAATCAATTTTTCTAAGATATTTATTGATAAGAATGTCTTAACATTAAATCAAAAAAAAATAAATCTGTTTTGGTTCCGGAAATAATGTGAACCTAAAAACAGAACGATCATTCAAAAGAAAAAACTGGCTGAGAAACATCACTGCAGAGAATCGCCTTCTGAATTGCTCTAAATTAACCTGGGGGAGGAGCTAAGTGTTTTGGGGCGGGGCTGAGCGATTGGGGCGGAGCTAGTTCCGGTTTATAGCTGCCCTAACAACTTTCAGCTCCAAAAGCTCTGAATTGGAAAAGCAGACATTCAGCAGAACATTTGAACTGGCAGAAGTCTGACCGAAGTCGGAGTTGTCCCTCTTGTCGAAGAACAGCTTGTTGCCGACTCTCTGGACGATGATGTCCCAGGAGTTGACTGAGCGTGTGCAGCACATCAGCGTGGCCAGGATGGCGTCGGTGGCGAACACGTTGCCCTGCGTCTTGGCCAGCTGGAGACGAGACAGACAGGGTTGACCCGCTGACCTCTGTGGAGCGGCGCGGCTGTGAGGGGCGGGGCTTACCTTTCTGATGACTGGATCGTCGGTGGTGGTGACGGTGTGGAAGATCCTCTTGATGCTCTTCAGCTGCTTTTCGTTGCGTGTGGTGATGCGGTCGAAGGCCTTATCGTAGTACTCCAGTGCGCCGCAGCACTCTCTGCAGGAAACACAGCGCCGCTTCAAGGCTCCGCCCACAATAACACAAACCACAGGGGGTCACCCTGAGGCTCCGCCCCCAAACCACAGCGGTCACCCTGAGGCTCCGCCCCCAAACCACAGGTTCACCTCCACCTCTGCTTCCCATGTAACAAAATTGGTGTCAAAAGTATCTTAATGTTTTCAGAGGTCATCAGGGGTCATCATCAATGTCTTCAAAGCAAAAGAAGGAAACATTGTCATTATTAGATTTGAGTAATGTGGGGGGTGGGCTGGTTGACCTTTGACCTTTCATGACCTCTGGAAACATTAATATCCTCAAAATGACAGAAGCACAAACAATTTTTGCTGCATGAACGTAGTTGGATAAATTTTGTCTGATTTAGCGCCGGCGAGCGGATCGGCGCCACCTACATGTCGACCGGGTCGGACACCTCCATGTATCTCATCTTCATCAGTCGGGGGAAGTCCATCTCCTCCTTCACCTCCCAGTCGCTCCGAACCTCCACTGACGAGTCTCTGGGCTTCAACTGGGCCTGCGGCACAAACAGTTATTCAATAATCGATTGATCCAATTAATCGTTTCAGCCACAATACATTTAAACCATTTCTTTTATAGTTTGTTCTGTATAACTTCACATTTATTTCTTCTGAGTCATTTCAGATTTTATTGTTTAAAGGTTTTACTTCAGTTAAATTTTAGTGACTTTTAAAACTAAATAAACTGCTAAAAATATTATTAAATGTTAGAAAAAAGGTTTTGATGATTTCAATAATCGATTCATCATGAATGCATGAGTATATAAAACCTGTTATGATGATAGTAATGTTTTAATCAGACGTTTCTGTTGCTGATATGAAGAAATAATGATTTTTCTGATGAACTTTGATCAGATTTTCAGGAACTTCCTCAGATCCATTTTATCTACTTCTTTTCTTCAGCATCAGTAAAACTACCTGAGACTTCTGGTCCCACTTCTGACGGACTCCAACTGCTTCTGGAACTTCTTCTGCAGACGCATCCGGTCCCTGAACACAAACCTGCGTTAAGCTTTCAGTCCCAGCGACTGGCCGCCGGCGCCATCAGGCCGGTCTCACCTCTCCTTCTGCTTGGCGCTCTTCGGGAGCGTCTGCATGTTGAACTGGGTCAGATTCCTGCGGTCCTTGTCTCTGCGCAGGTTCCTCTGTGGAAACAGTTACAGAACCTTTAATCCAACTGGTTCTGCAGAGGTTCTGCTTGTTCTGCATTACCTGAGCAAAGCGCATGCGATTCCTCTGGTACGCCGTCTTCTGCGTCTTGGCCGTGTCCACCAGCTGGAAGCTCGTTTCGTCTTCCTCGTGGAAGTAAGCGTACTGACTGCCTCCGCCGAACTGAGACGAATATTTATCTGAAAATCATAATCAGAGAAACCAGACTTATAACTGAACACACGACTGTAGGACCGCAACGATCACTGAACGCAAACGTCTCATCAGGAAACTTCCTGTCTCTGCTTGGAGCAACAGCTAACGGGAAACGCTTTGCTCCGTTTGGAAAACTCTTAACTTTAATCTGTGATTGTTGGGACAAAATCTTTCAGGTTTTACATGAACAAAGAAATTAACTTTGCCCAACATGACATGAACCTGCTGATCAACAAGAACTAAAATTAATTACAAACATCTGTTGTAGAAAAGTTATTTTATACTTCAAACTTGAGACCGAAAGTGAAATTTTTTAATTTTTTAATTTAAAGCAATAAAATCTTTCTATTATTTAAAAAAGGAACTGAATTGTTCATCAACACCATTTTATCTTTTTTTTAGCTTTAGAAGCTACAACAGAACAAGTTTTCATTTGATTAATTGATTAATCATCAGAATAATCAATAGATTACAAGGCTGATTAATATCTAACCTCAAAATAATAATTTCTATAATATAAACTAGAGCTGCATCGATTGCAGTTTTCTGGCCAATATTTAAAAAGCCTGACCTGATTCTGATTTTTTTGTCTAAAAGTTGCTTTTCATATGAAACTGTTTATCAAATGTTCATCACCAGGCGGCGCTTGAAGCCTCCGCTTCACTCACTCGTGTATCGCTTGTCTTGGTAAGTTGCTCCGGTCCAGTCAGCGACCTGCCAGAACCAAAACACACAACAGAGTGAAGAACCGACTGGAGATCAGAGCGGCTCAGACAGAACAAACCGATCACCGATCACCAGACAGAACGAACCGATCACCAGACAGAACGAACCGATCACCAGACAGAACGAACCGATCACCAGACAGAACGAACCGATCACCAGACAGAACGAACCTTCCCCAGTCGGTCTCCTTTGCTGAACGGTTGGTACGGCATGTCCTTGAACTTCTCTGGGACGGCGCAGGGGCCCCATCCAGACGGGTTGTCCTGGATCACAGGGGCGTGAAACTTCGCCATGACCTGACTTCAAAACAAACAGACAGTTTATCAGTTTTACACTACAACAATCAGCAGATTGATCTGGTATGGCCGGGGTCTCAGATCGGAGCAGCACTCATTTCTCCAGCAATGAACTCAAACGCAGAGCATTGATCGGATTGCGCAGTGGGCTAATCATCACCGACCCATGAAGGAGTGAAGGAAATCTGCCGTAGTTTAAGTTGGAAATATTTTCTACTAATGGATTAAATTAATTTATTCTTCAAACGGAATAATTTCTGTAAATACTTTTGAGTTTCATCAGTGAACCTGCCAAAAAACAGAAACATTGTAATAAACGGGTTTCCTTGATGACTATGTGGTTATAAAGAGAAAATATTAATTTCAATAAAAAACACATAATAAAAATAGGTGTCAGTAAATTTATTTAAAACATTTTCATTTCCATTTGTGATTGTTACGTTTTTTAAAGACGTGTAGCTGCACATTCAGGAGAGAATTAAATAATGTTATCAGAAATAAAAGTAAAAAATAAGATCAACACCACTTTTATACATTTTTATGAATAAATAAATCAGCTCAGAATAATTGACAACCATGTATGATAAAAAAAAGACAAAACATTTAGATGGGAATAAACACGTCACCTTTAATCAACTACAGTCCAGCTGATTAATAATCCAGAATCCAGAAGAATCTGGATATTTAAATATCAATACGAACATTTTCACAACCAGATTTTACGTTTGAATAACGAAAATAATTTTTACGTTATTCAAACATCAATGTCTGAAAAACATACTTTAAACATATTTAAAAATACTATTTAACAGCTCAGAGGTTTCCATAGTAACTCTTAACCTGGACTGAACCGATTCACTAACTGAACGTTCTGTTTTTCTCATTATACAAAGAAATGTGTTTATATGAAAGTTTCCGTCTCTCCAGATTGAAATACAGTTAAAATGTTGCATTTGTAACATTTTGGCCTAAACTAAGGCGGGTCTTCCTGCCAGGTGGCTCCCACTGACGATGCTAAGCTAACTGGCTAACTAACTAACTGCGAAAACCTTCCGGCGATAATCGACTTCATCTCAGAACAGCAACAGAAGCGGAAGCAGATTTCACTTCCTTCTGTGTTTCATTGAACACTCACCTTTACCTGCAAAGCTTTCAGTGAGAAATTCAACCCAAAAGCCTTTACAGCGTTGAAAAGCCGACGGAGCGCCGGTGTGAAAGGAAGTGATGAAACTCGACGAGGCACAAGCCATTTCCTGCCGTAACTGAAGAGCAACTGGCGTAAAATATAAAAACGGCGGCTCAATGCTTGTTATTAAGTTTTCACGATGTTTACTGTAGGTTTGATAAGATAAATATAAATTAATCTGAAAATTTCAGATCAAAATTCTTGTTCGCTTTAAAAATAACAAAACTAAGGTAGTCCCTTTCCACGTTGCTGTTTTTGTCCGTGACCACTAGATGGCAGTAACGAGATATTTATGAACCACCTTAATTTGGCTCCACTTTGTTACAGCAGAGAAAAGGTTCTGTAGTAATTAATTTAACAATTGCAATGGTAATATAATAACCTCTGCTTTTAACAACGCTGTAGACAGCAGAGATTACCACTAGGGGGCAGAAAATCCATAAATAATAGAAATTTGACTTCAGTTTTCAAGTACTAAGAGTGCTGACATAAAGTATGACATAAGAAAACAATATGATCATGTATTTGGAATCCACTTGTTTTCTTTTTTGTATGTTTTCCTGTATAAAGAAAAATAGAGGGATTGTTGTGGTGGAGAAATATTTGTTTCAGTGTTTCGTAGTTAGAGATTCAGGCTGTTCATTAGAGACGCAGCCGGGGGAAGAAACTGTCTGTGGTTTGCAAATAACGCTCTGCAGCGCCAGCCTGCAGGGAAACCAAAACAGATTGCTGCCAGGGTGTTTGAGGTCTGCAGACATGCTGGCTTTTTCCTGACCTTTGACTTGTAAAAGTCCTGGATGGAGCCCTAATGATCATGATAATGACTGCAGTCTGGTTCTGTCAGGGTTTCCAGATGAGCCAAACCATACAGTAATGGACGAACACTCAATGCTTATTTTATTTTTATACAACCAGAATAAAATCTCACAAAAATCTCGTTTTAAGGGAGTTGATTGGAAGAGGAAGCAACTAATAGAACAAAGAAGTTACACAGTTAAAATCTTTTAATGTTTTCCGTTTCTGAGAAAGGCAGACGATGTTTAAGAAAAGAAGAAACAGTTATGAATATTGGTTTTATAGCATCTTTTTGGAAGCAGATCTTGTGAGCATTTTTTAAATTTGCTGTTATTTTCCTTCTGTTTGTTCTCAACAGGAGCTGCAGCCTTTACAAAATAAAAGTCTGTATAATTGAAATGTTGCTCATACGTCTGAAAGGTGAAGTCTGACAGGAAGCGTCTGAGTTTGTCGTGCATCTCAGCGGCTTCCTGTTGGATGCTGCGGCGGTGAATCACGATGCCGCTATGTTTGCACATCTGCTGAGTCTTTGCTTGAACGTCAAACTGAATCTCTGCGACTGTATGACTGAAGCAGCTCCGGGATTAAATCTGATTTCTCCTCAAACATGGCGTCCCTCAGGGATCCGACAGCAGACGCTCAGCTTGGTGTGTGTCTGTACATGTGACTGTGATTTTTACCATCTCACTGAGTTACATGTCTGTAAAATAAAAGGTAAAAACAGACGAACTCAATGAGAGCCGACTGACCTTTTCCTTTTCAGAGCTGCTGCAGCAAAAGCTGCTCTGTTTTCACATCAGGAGTGTTTATAGAAACCTTCCAGTTTCTTTAGATGGAAAAAGTATTTTTCTTTTAAATGATTTATAAGTCAGTATTTGCAGTTTCTCCACATTTTGGAGAATTTTTCCAATTTGTTTTAAATTATCTTAAAATTTCTACACACCAATATTCCATTTTATACATCCAGCTCTTTTCATATTGACCTTTGACCCGAAACAGGCTGCAGACTGAAACCTAAATTATGGCCGGTTTCTGACCTTCAGATGTTTCAACTTAATGTCGGTTAAAACATAAATTGTCAAAGTCTTTACTTGTCTTCTTGTATATAACACTCTGTGACCTTATTATGTTTGATCAAAAATATATTCATTTAATTGGCTAAAACATAAAATAAAAGCTGTCTGAGGAACGAGAGCGTTCAGGTTTCATCTGGACTTTAGTCTCTTACATAATTTACATTTTGCTCAGATTTTCATGATTATTTTTCTCAGTTCCTCCTGCCTCTTTTATTTTAGTCTCAGCTGGTTTATCCTCCTAATTACATTTCATGTTTGATTATTTTTCTGTTTCTCTTCCAAGATGTAAATACAGAGAGCAGTAATCTCTCCTCCAGCTGGAAACACCCAGAGGAAACATCAGCAGATTCACAAAAACACATTTTAGTCCATGAATCCTGAGAATCCGAGCAGCAGAAGGAAAACAGTTTGGCTCATTTTGTCCCATAAATTAAAGTCAGTCAGGCTGCAGAAACCGTCATAATGGGAATCTCTTCCATCGACACTTCAGAGGAGGTGCAGGTTTATTTCTCAAGTCTCAAAGCAATGAAATCTCCCACCCCGTTTCCATTACACACACACACACACACACACACACACACACACACACACACACACACATACACACACACACACACACATACACACACATACACACACACACAATGACACACACACACACACACACACACACATACACACACATACACACACACACAATGACACACACACACACACACACATACACACACACACACACACACACATACACATACACACACACACACACACACACACACACACCCTCACACACACACACACACACACACACACACATGCTTTCTGCAGAGATCAACTGAGAAGCATCATTCCAGGCACATTAAACGCTGCTGACTGACCGAGACGTCTGTAGAAATCTGTTCAGTGTGTGTGTGGGTGTGTGTGTGTGTGTGTGTGTGTGTGTGTGTGTGTGTGTGTGTGTGTGTGTGTGTGTATGTGTGTGTGTGTGTATGTGTGTGTGTGTGTGTGTGTGTGTGTGTGTTGAACTCTTAGCTCCAGGTCCGTTTTATTGTTGAAGTCTTGAATAAAAGGCTGGACAGTGAGTCTCTAATGGATGATTCTTGTCATATTCTTTGATTTTTTTTCTTCATCCTCTTCACACATTTACTTTTCCAAACACGTTTCTAAATTCTGAGAAAATAAAACTTGTTGCATCAATTAAAAGATTTCTGAAGGATTGAAAACTGATGATATTATTAATAAAAAACCACCCTGATAATTAAAGCACATATGACTTTAATTAGTATATTTTGATTAATCAATCCCATAGAATGCAACGCATCAAAACTTTTTGACACAATTAGTCACAAATTTTATTTCACATACAACAATCCAGAGCTGGAACCTTTGTATTGTGTTTCTGGTACGTCTGCTAACAGCGCCGGACGATGAAGCTGCTTCTCTCTGGTAAACTGAGGGTTAATTTCTGTTTCTAAATGATCTGATTGGATCCTGGAAAAGACTACTGTTGGTTCAAGTTGTGCTAAAAGGAGTTAGCCAAGCAATGAAGCTATTCAAGGCTAATATAGCATCTGATTGCTAACATGTAGCAGCTAACACTAATGTTAGCATCTTAAAAGGCTCCATGAATGATCAGGACGTCCTGAAACTCTGCTCCAATCTGATGGTTGGAGATCAGAGTAAAAACTATAAATAACTTTGTTTATTTAATAATTTTGCAGCAAAAATCTTTTTATTTTGAAAAATTGCTGAATTTGACAATATATTATGTTTGAATGTTTCTGACTATAATGCAATTAATTAATTATAGACCCTGTAATTAACTCAATCTATGTTTGAATTGAGTCACACCAATAAATATAACATCTCAATATGCCATATTTATATCATATCACTGTTAGTTAATAATGAGATTAAAATCTGAGATTTTATTTAATAAATTTGACATATTTGACAGCTCTGAGCATTAAATCTCAGAACTCAAAGTATGATCATCAGATGTTTTGGACTAATTCTTTAACAATATCCACTTTTCAGTGGAGAAACTCAAATTGGTTGCTGCTCATTTCTAACCCACAATAAATAATCTGACAAGCTGAAAAATTCAGAATATTTATGTGAATATTCTCCCACAAATACAGTTTTCAGAAAGTGCAGTCCTTCATTGTGGTTTGGGAATCAAACTTTCTCAGCCTTTTCTTCTTCAGTTTGAGAGCTGAGGAATCCATGTGGACCGGACCGGACCGGACCGGAGCGGACCGGACCGGACCAGAGCCTGCTGCCAGGCTCATCAGTAACATGAATCACACCTAAAGCTGCCAACTGAGTCGCTCTGTTTGCACCTTAACTGGAAAACATCGACTCACAGAAACATGAACCCAAATTACAGCTTCGATTTCAAGAAACGGATCTAATGAACTCAAACAGATCAACATTAACAACACTCACAAAAAAGCAGCATCGATTTATTTTAAACGGCACTAATCTGAGATGATATATATGTGATTATCTAATGAACATTCAGTTCTTAAAAATGAGATTTGATGGAAAGTTCATGTAGCCTGATGAGTTCAAAGGTTAAAAAAAGCTAAAAGGACTAAAAACTGGAAAACATACTTACAATGAACATGTGTAATGTTTGGTACTAAGAGAAAAGGTGAACAAGAGGAAAATTAACATCATATAGTTTCTGCAGGTTTTGCTCCCGTTATTGTTCTAAATAAAGAAAGAAATGTTCCCATCAGTTCAGCAGGTTGCAGCCAATCACATCTAGATCTGCAGATCTTAAAGATGATAGTTGGAGAAGTAGAATCTGGTTTTATCAATCAAAATACCAATACGATCAATGCAAAGGTCAGTATTGGTGTTGGATCAATAAGAGCTTGATCAAATCAATACTTTTATTTGCAGTTTCTCTCCCAGCACTTTGCAGACAGAATTCATCCCAGCGCATTAAAATCCCAAATAGAAAAATTTCACTTTTTCAATTTCAGATCAGGATTTTATACTTTTTCAATGGCTGAATATGATAAACTATTGAAGATATTCAGTGATAATGATGACATCACAAGTATCGGCGATACGAGCCCGATATTTACTCCGTATCGATCCTTTCCCTCAGTTCACTCATGCAGACGGTTTTGTGAATTTTCCTCTAATTTTCTGTTCAAATCAACATTTAACACTAAACTGCGATAAAGGCACAATTACACATCTCGATGCAAGTACAGATTATAGTCATACAGACTGAATGACATGAAGGTCATGATTTTATCTCTTATTTTAAACTATAAATAACTGATCTCCAGCGAGCCGCTCTGGTCCGCGGCTTCTTCCGGCAGAGTTTTCACGCTTCCGGTTTTGGCTCCGTTCAGCAGCAGCGGGACTGTCGGAACCGAGCCGGTCAGGACCGACCCGGTCCGAACCGAGCCTGTCAGAACCGAGCCGGTGAGGGCCGGCCCATCAGCCGGTTCCGTCCCTCTGGGCTCGGACCGGTCCGGGCTCGGACTCTCCGCGGCCTGGCGCGGGAAGCCGCCGTTCCCATTGTGATCTCGGGTGATCTGGTAGATCTCAGTCATTTCAGACGCGTCTTCATCGTCGTCCTCGTGGCGGACGGCCCGCCGCAGACTCTCCCGGGGCAGCAGCGCCCGCCGCCCCTCGTCCTGCGGCCGCGGACCTTCCGCCGGTTCGTGACTCTCCACTTTCCGGGTTGAGCGGCACAGCGCCTTCCGGAAGCCTCTCTTGAAGTTGTCGGACAGGAAGCCGTAGACGATGGGATTGGCGCAGCTGTTGGCGTAACCGAGCACAACCACGAAGTAGTAAAGGCCCTGATAGTCGGACGGCAGCGACACCAGCAGGTTGATGATGTTCAGGGCGTAGAAAGGCAACCAGCAGAGGACGAACACCGCCACCACGATCACCACCATCCGCGTCACTTTCCGCTCCGACTTCCGCCTCTTGGTTGAGGTGGCGTGGACCTTTTTTCCCGAGCTGCGGATCTTGAAGACGATGAGCAGGTAGCAGAGGCAGATGATGAGCAGCGGGCAGAAGAAGCCCACCGTGGAGGTGTAGATGATGAAGGCGGCCCGCCAGATGTTGGCCGGCTGCGGCCAGCTGATGTTGCAGGTTCCTCCCGCCTTCTGGATGTTGGCGAAGATCACCACCGGAAGAACCACCAGGAAGGACAGAGCCCACACGGTACAGTTCACCACTTTGGCCACCGGAGGGCGCCGCCACTTGGAGGAGCGGATGGGGTGAACCACGGCGAGGTAGCGGTCGACGCTCATGACGGTGAGGCAGAAGATGCTGGTGAACTGGTTGATGGAGTCGACGGTCATGACCAGTCGGCACATGAAGGGTCCGAAGGGCCAGGCCTGCAGCGAGTTCTGGACGGCCAGGAAGGGCAGGCCCAGCATGAACAGCTCGTCTGCGATGGCCAGGTTCAGGATGTAGATGTTGGTGACCGACTCGGTCTTGGAGTAGTGCAGCACGATGTGGATGACCAGCGTGTTTCCGCCCAGGCCGACGACGCAGACGACCACGTAGATGAGCGGGATGAGGACGGCGGCGGCGCTGGGCCCGCCGCCGTCCAGGGCCGTGGAGTTGGTGGCGTTGAGCAGCGAGTCGTTCTGGTCGTTGAACAGGAACTGCGGAACGGCGGGCGCGGCCCCGCCCGGCGAGGCGCCCCCCATGTTGAGACGCTGCGCTGCGGACAGAAAACCAGACGCTCTGATTCAGACAGATCCAGATCCGGTCCAAAAGAACCCAGACGGATAATTAAACATTCAGTTTTATTCATGTTCAATTAACATGAATAAAATGACATCAAGAGGAATTATAATATTAAACATTCAGAATAAAATCTCTGATAATTTCACTTTGAAATAATTTGTTCCCAGCAGAGATTTGACCGACATCATGACAATATTTCATCATATTTGGTGTTTTGATGATTTTTATGATGAAATTCAACAAAAAATGTTTGTTAGTTTCTCAGTTGTTTTATGATATTTTGAAGCTGAAATGTTCCTACATGAAACTAAACTGATTATTTCTTTGTTTTATTGAGTTCAGATCTTTTTAAAGCCGCGATGATGGCAGATCGGGTTTAATATCTCATCTCTCAGCATCAAGTCAAGAAGCAATTTGAATTTAGCAGCAAAAAATCAAAAACTATGAAACATGTGAGCCTGTTGGTGGAAGGATGATCACTGCTGATGAGGCAAACGTGGAGCAATTAAAGCCCGGCAGCTTGGAGAGAAAACCAGCAGAAACACAAAGTTCACCGCCATCATTCATCCTCTCATCCATTCAGCCATTCATCCATTCATGCCCTCATCCATTCATCCATTCATCCATTCATGGAGTGAATGGATAATTCTTTCAACGTTTCTTTGTTTTGTGTTTCTTGCCAGTGAAAAACATTTTAATCTGAATGAAGTTTTTCTTTTTTCTCAGTTTTTCTCATTTCATTTATGATTCATTTCAAAATTATTCAACATGAACTGATTTTATGATTAAATGTTTCAGAGTTTCAGTCGTTTCTTTAAACTCGTCTGTTGATTTAAATTTAAACCCATTTTATCAGTTTTCACTGCATGGCTGCTTGTTTGTGTTTTTAATATTTAATATTCCATTTTGGTGTCAAATCATTTTTATTCTCACTTCTGTGTAAAAATGTGAAGATTTATAAATTCCTCTTCGTCTCTCAGGTCATTATTGAGCCGTTTTCTAGCAGCAGTTCAACGTTTCCTTTAGTTCATCACAGCAGCCGTTAAACACGTCGATTCAAAGACGACCAGAGAAACAAACTGCAGCATTAAAGCTCTGTAACAAATCCAGCAGAATTATAATATTTGCAGTTGCAACAATAAATCCAGAGTAGAAAGAGCTAAAACATGTCAGTGAATGTTCAAACCTGCCCACTGACGTCTCTGAGGTTTTCAGTAAATGTATATTTTTAATCAAATTTGAGGCTCAGTTTCTCCAGGATGGAAACAAATCAACAATTAATGATTTCCAATCCGTCTGCTGGTGAAAACTTCCTATTTAACTCACAGAAATCATTAATCTACTCAGATTACAGCCGGTGGAACATAAATAAAACATTAAATGCTGATAAAACTCTTTTGTCAAAGGTTTCAGAAACAAACCATGTTTTCTTCAAACCTCAACTCAAACTGATCTCTACCGTTTTCAATAATCTCCAGTTTCTTGTGATTTCGCTAAATAATCTGGGCGCCATGGAAACCAAGAGGAGAAGCATCATAAATCAGACAAAACCAAATTAATTCAGACGGATTTTCCCCCCGGTGGAAACGGCTGAGAAAGGAGAACAAAAAGTCGACTCTCAGACTGCAGAGAAGAAGAACCATTAAAATCCAAAAGGTTGAATTGAACTCGTCTAAAATGATCATGTAGTTAAAATGACGGGAGTTTTTTCAGTGCAGCTCTTCACATGTTGTTTGATCTCAGGAGGAAATTTGACTGATTTTGTTACATTTAGTTTACAAATAAATAATTTGTTTACTTTTTCTTTCTTTCCTGCTAATTCCCAGAAAGTTACCGTAAGACTCTTCAGATGATGAAGATCTCTAAATGATCTTTCTTCCAGAACCAGCCGGTTTTCTGCTGGATTTCGTTCATTTGGATAAATCTGATGTCAACAAAAATCTGAAATAAAAATAAAGCTGATGAATGCAGAAGTGCTGAAAAACTCCCAGATTAAAAGCAGAAGAAGAACATGAAGCGTCCTGATTGGTGGAGGCGCCGCTAATTAGAGCTGCAACCATTATTTCAATAATCAATGACTCTATCGATCATCCTGACCATTAATCAGATAAAATCATAGAAATTAATAACTTTCAGCTTCTGGATTGTAAAGAAAATAATTTGTGAGCTGAGATTAAAAGTCATACTGAGAAACTAACAGTTTAGATTAAATTTAAGTAAACATTATGAAATATTAGCAGGCGGTGAATGTAAAAATGTGAACCAAGTTTCGAAACTTGTTTTCATCTAAATATAAAAAAAGAAATGAATAATATTTATTACAGTTATGAATCTAAGGACTTTGATGACAAATAATAACTAATTTTAAAATATTGGATATTTAGGAGATTTGATCAACTTTTGGTTGAGTAAAATGTTTTTCAGTTCATTTCATGAAAAGCTATGAGATCATATTCACTTCCAGGATGTAAGAAAACATTTCTTTGCACTTTTCACAGATAAAATCACAAAGTGCTTCATAAAACATGTTAGAAAACATAAAACCGTCAGATTCAGCTAAAGCCTGTCTGCTTTTAGAAATAATAAATGGAATCAACGCGACGTGAAAACAGTCAGGTAGAAACGACGGGATTTAAACCGACGACCAAACATCCAGAGGCTGAGGTTCTGTGCTGCTGAGCCGCTTGGCGTCTCCATCGCTCCTCGCTGCGTCTCCTCGCTCCGTCTCCTCGCTGCGTCTCCTCGCAGCATCTCCTCGCAGCGTCTCCTCGCTGCGTCTCCTCGCAGCGTCTCCTCGCTCCGTCTCCTCGCTGCGTCTCCTCGCTCCGTCTCCTCGCTGCGTCTCCTCTCAGCGTCTCCTCGCTGCGTCTCCTCTCAGCGTCTCCTCGCTCCGTCTCCTCGCTGCGTCTCCTCTCAGCGTCTCCTCGCTGCGTCTCCTCTCAGCGTCTCCTCGCTGCGTCTCCTCGCTCCGTCTCCTCGCTGCGTCTCCTCGCTGCGTCTCCTCTCAGCGTCTCCTCGCTGCGTCTCCTCGCTGCGTCTCCTCGCTGCGTCTCCTCGCTGCGTCTCCTCTCAGCGTCTCCTCGCTGCGTCTCCTCTCAGCGTCTCCTCGCTGCGTCTCCTCGCTCCGTCTCCTCTCAGCGTCTCCTCGCTGCGTCTCCTCGCTGCGTCTCCTCTCAGCGTCTCCTCGTTGCGTCTCCTCGCTGCGTCTCCTCTCAGCGTCTCCTCGCTCCGTCTCCTCGCTGCGTCTCCTCGCTGCGTCTCCTCTCAGCGTCTCCTCGCTCCGTCTCCTCGCTGCGTCTCCTCGCAGCGTCTCCTCGCAGCGTCTCCTCGCTGCGTCTCCTCGCAGCGTCTCCTCGCTCCGTCTCCTCGCTGCGTCTCCTCGCTCCGTCTCCTCGCTGCGTCTCCTCTCAGCGTCTCCTCGCTGCGTCTCCTCTCAGCGTCTCCTCGCTGCGTCTCCTCTCAGCGTCTCCTCGCTCCGTCTCCTCGCTGCGTCTCCTCTCAGCGTCTCCTCGCTGCGTCTCCTCTCAGCGTCTCCTCGCTGCGTCTCCTCGCTCCGTCTCCTCGCTGCGTCTCCTCGCTGCGTCTCCTCTCAGCGTCTCCTCGCTGCGTCTCCTCGCTGCGTCTCCTCGCTGCGTCTCCTCGCTGCGTCTCCTCTCAGCGTCTCCTCGCTGCGTCTCCTCTCAGCGTCTCCTCGCTGCGTCTCCTCGCTCCGTCTCCTCTCAGCGTCTCCTCGCTGCGTCTCCTCGCTGCGTCTCCTCTCAGCGTCTCCTCGTTGCGTCTCCTCGCTCCGTCTCCTCGCTGCGTCTCCTCGCTGCGTCTCCTCTCAGCGTCTCCTCGCTGCGTCTCCTCGCTGCGTCTCCTCGCTGCGTCTCCTCGCTGCGTCTCCTCTCAGCGTCTCCTCGCTGCGTCTCCTCTCAGCGTCTCCTCGCTGCGTCTCCTCGCTCTCTCTCTCAGCGTCTCCTCGCTCTCCTCGCTGCGTCTCCTCTCAGCGTCTCCTCGTTGCGTCTCCTCGCTGCGTCTCCTCTCAGCGTCTCCTCGCTCGTCTCCTCGCTGCGTCTCCTCTCAGCGTCTCCTCGCTCCGTCTCCTCGCTGCGTCTCCTCGCTGCGTCTCCTCTCAGCGTCTCCTCGCTCCGTCTCCTCGCTGCGTCTCCTCGCAGCGTCTCCTCGCAGCGTCTCCTCGCTGCGTCTCCTCGCAGCGTCTCCTCGCTCCGTCTCCTCGCTGCGTCTCCTCGCTCCGTCTCCTCGCTGCGTCTCCTCTCAGCGTCTCCTCGCTGCGTCTCCTCTCTCCTCGCTGCTCTCCTCAGCGTCTCCTCGCTGCGTCTCCTCTCAGCGTCTCCTCGCTCGTCTCCTCGCTGCGTCTCCTCTCAGCGTCTCCTCGCTGCGTCTCCTCTCAGCGTCTCCTCGCTGCGTCTCCTCGCTCCGTCTCCTCGCTGCGTCTCCTCGCTGCGTCTCCTCTCAGCGTCTCCTCGCTGCGTCTCCTCGCTGCGTCTCCTCGCTGCGTCTCCTCGCTGCGTCTCCTCTCAGCGTCTCCTCGCTGCGTCTCCTCTCAGCGTCTCCTCGCTGCGTCTCCTCGCTCCGTCTCCTCTCAGCGTCTCCTCGCTGCGTCTCCTCGCTGCGTCTCCTCTCAGCGTCTCCTCGTTGCGTCTCCTCGCTGCGTCTCCTCTCAGCGTCTCCTCGCTGCGTCTCCTCGCAGCGTCTCCTCGCAGCGTCTCCTCGCAGCGTCTCCTCGCTGCGTCTCCTCGCAGCGTCTCCTCGCTCCGTCTCCTCGCTGCGTCTCCTCGCTCCGTCTCCTCGCTGCGTCTCCTCTCAGCGTCTCCTCGCTGCGTCTCCTCTCAGCGTCTCCTCGCTGCGTCTCCTCTCAGCGTCTCCTCGCTCCGTCTCCTCGCTGCGTCTCCTCTCAGCGTCTCCTCGCTGCGTCTCCTCTCAGCGTCTCCTCGCTGCGTCTCCTCGCTCCGTCTCCTCGCTGCGTCTCCT